CAAAAATTTTAAGTGGAGCAAATTTCGAAGGGTCTATGAATTTTCGGACTAAGGAACAAGGGGGAAACATAGAAAAGACCGCAGCAAGTGTAATTGTATATAATCTACAATTTTTCTAATTCTATCTCAGCTTATTCTGTTTTTAAGAAAAAGTGAGCAATGAAATGTCTTGGGAGGAGGAGGGGAAGATAAGTTCTTTGAGTCCGTCGATCTTTGAAGGGGAGCACCCCTGTGCTATTAGTGTGAATGCAAAATGATTTCAAGAAACAAATTATAAATGAAGTAGTTTGTGATATATGAAGAATTATATTTTCTCTGTAGTATGTATATATTATATGAATGTACTCTAAAATCCCAATACTACTTATTTGTTTCGATGCCTAGGCGCTGAAAATCCAGGTCATAAGCGCCCGATCAACTAAATAACACCACTTAATACAGTTTGGATGATTGGTACAAAAAATAAAGAAATGAATTGATAGAATAAAATAAATAAATAAGGATAATAATCGACATTTATAGGTAATAAGATAGAATGTATAAATAAATAAACTTGAAAAAAAAATAGCAGTAAAATCAATAAATGAATTGAGATTAATAAACAAATGAACTTGAAATGAACCAATGAAACAGATGAAAACGATAAAAAAAAAACGAATTAAAAAAAAAAAATAAATCTGCAAAGGATCATTAATTATAAGCTTGTCATATATGTTTTTTAAGTATTTCACTATCCAGGAACTTGATGATTAAATAATTAATTATTCCCAATACTTTTTTGTTTTTAATATGACAAATTTTATATTCATTCAATAAAACTTAGCGGAAAAAATGTTTAATTTTTGGCTTGTGTTTAGGGTCAAATGATTTTAGACATTTAGGAGGTTTATATGTTTGTTTAATAACCATTAATATTTCCAGTGTCTATTATGTAATTAATTAATGATCCTATCGTATAATAATCCTCTGTAATAATAATTAAAATACAATTATCGTCAATTAAACCTCAAGGACTTTAGTACGATTATTCGAATGATCAAATCACAATTCTATTTCATAACAAACACCTATAGCCAATATATTACCGCTGTGATGGCGGTTTGACCTTTGAAGATTGAAATGCCGGCGACAGACAGGTTTATTTTAATTCCTCACCCACTCGTTTCCATGGATTTTTATTTATTTATTTTTCAATTGTTTTTTTCATTAAATAGGACTCAATAATAAATAATCCTGCAAAATGAATTGAAAAGTGAAATGAAAAGTCAACTGTGTAATTCAATGACTTTGTGTATTTTACCTTTATGTATTTATTATATTTTTCTGCGAACAGGATCTTCCGAAGGTAGAGAAATTTTTTGTAGGAGTAATAGCAGACCGTAAGAGCTACAAAAAGTTTATATGAACAATGGGCCAATTTTCAGTAGAAAAGTAGCAAATCCAAGTTTTGTGTTTTTTTAAGTGAGTCATGTTTTTTGTTGAATCGAAAGCAATAACTAAAAAAATCTTAATTTACGTAATTAATAAATGCTCCATAGCAAACTAGATAAAATTGACTTCAAACGAAAGTAGAGTTTGTCATTTTTAATACCGTTTACAAATGACTATTGAGCGGATAAATTCAGCTAAATAATATACATACAATAAATAGTATTAATAGTAATAATAATATAAATTGTAATAATAATCCAACATCATCCAGTTCATAAATATCTACTAAAAAACTTATCTACAATAACTGGAAAAATATTACGTAATTAATAATTGCTCCATAGCAAACTAGATAAAATTTACTTCTAAAGAAAGTAGAGTTTATCATTGTTAAAACTATTTATAGTGGACTATTGAGCGGATAAATTCAGCTAAGTAATATAAATACAATAAATATAATTAATAATAATATTAATATATATTGTAATAATAATCCAACATCATCCAGTTCATAAATATCTACTAAAAAACTAAAAAGCAATAACTACAAAAATTTCAATTTATGTAACTAATAATTGCTCCATAGTAAACTAGATGAAATTTACTTCAAACGAAAGTAGAGTTTGTCATTGTTAATACCATTTAAAGATGACTATTGCTCGGATAAATTCAACTAAGTTCTCTTTTAAAAAAAAGTTGTAAATTATCTAAAATATTGTAATAAGTTAAAATAAGTGAATGTTAGGATATGAAAACTAATTAGAGCTTCAATAAGCAATAACACTGTTGCCAGATCTAATGCATGTCTTCACCATCTGTTTATCTATATACCCATTTTTAATCTCAACATTTTACACACTTATAATGTGTGATAAATATTTAGGACGCAGTAATTTGAATTTTTTTTTTTTTAATTTTTTATTTGTGCCAACGTTTCAACTCAAACATGTGGGTCATCATCAGGGTTTGGTTCGAGCACTGAGTGAGTATCTAAAATCTTCGAGCACGTGTGAGTATTTAAACACTTTTAAAATGACTGCGTCCTGAATATTTATCACCCATGATATGTAGAACAGTAGACTAGATTCCTTCAATAATTTACACACTTATAGATTTATATTTATAAAAAAACCAAAAAAATAACATAAATTATTCGATTTATTTTTTTTTATCATTATCCAACTATACTACTGTTTTCTCACTTTCACAAAAACTTCTTCGTTTAATAATGTTTAAGTCTGTATTAATTAAGTCGAGGTTTCATCATGGTTAAACATGTGATTAGGATCAAATTGTGTAAAAAATAATAATATTTTTTATCCTGTTAAGTAAAAGTATTCCGGTTTCCAGCAAAAATTACCACAATTAATTGTTGGAAAGCTTTTATTTCTTATTTTTCCATGATCTGGGATATGTTATTGATTTTTTCAAATATTTTTTGAATAAATTAGTTATTAACTGTGTTTTTCACTAAGATCTCTTTTATAGGAATTTGTCTGTATTTGTGAGTGGCAAACCAAAACTTTCTAGTACTAAAACTTATGTTTAAAATGAAAAAAAAATCTGCTTCAATTATTTTCAGAAGACGTTAATGTTAGTATCAGGAACATTTAGTTTCTAACTTATAAAGACGGATCGATTTCTGTGATTGAGCTCTATGTGAAGAAGAAACTGTTTTTAACTGATTTATCCGTAAATAAATGAAAAATTAGTATTTTTCAAATTATTCTTTTTTAATAAATAAAATGTATGTTTGGGCAATTGGTTTTATTAAAAAACATTTCAGACCGTTCAAAACAAGAAATAAAAGCTTTGCAACAATTAATTGTAGTTTTGTTGGTTGAGAACAGAGGTACTTTTACTTGATAGAATAAAAAATATCATAATTTTTTTAAAAACTTGAACTGAATCTCAAATTTTTCCCAAATAAACCTCAACTTAATTGATACGAATTTTTATTTTTTACGAAATTTTATTAAACTAAGAAGTTTTTGTTTATTTGTACATACACACATAGACTATTTTGTGGAACTTACTTATTTGGACTCAGGAAACCTCAAAAAATGTATTTCCGTTGAAAACTTTGACTCGAAAATTTTCACGATCGCAATACTTATCCTTACTGTATATTGCATAAATAAGTAAGCGAGAGTAAAAATTGAAGACTTATTTTCCTGAAAATTGATCAAAGAAAAGATATGAGTACGATTTCTTTGATAAACTGAAGCAATATAAACCGGCTTGTGGAAGATAATTGAATGAGTATATGAAAGTAATAAATTATAACATGTGTTAAAAATAGAATACGCCGTATCATCGCTAATGCTGCTTTGATTCCAATGAATTTATATCTATTTTGTCAATAATTTAATCACCTTTCAAACATTTGTGTATTATTTTTCAATAGAAAATATAGTTCGCGAGTTAGGCCCCAAAACATTTTATTTTCTTTATATTTTTTTTTTCAAAATTTTCTCGGGAATTTATTTTATGCACGAAAATCGAATGATCATTAATTAAAAAATTATAGGACAGTTTCATCTAAATCGTTAGAGCCGTTTTTGATCTACAGTGAGTAGCCAATTTGTGTCACAGGCATCAGTAGTAATAATCTATAATATAAAAAAAGAAGAAACAAAATCGTTGTGTTAGTTCTCGAGATAATCTTGGCACAGACAGACAAACAGACCAATCGCTAAAAATATGTTTTTCGTATTCATGGGGCTCTGAAACACACAGATTTGTCGAAAACCACATATCCGAAATTTGACACGCAATACTTTGCTTATCTAGAATCTATAAAACAATTATCTTGCCTACAGTTCTTTATGGATGCGAAAATTGGCCGCTTACATTAAGGGATGAACAGCGTCTTAAGGTTTTTGAAAATAAAGTATTGCGTAGAATATTCGGACCGAAGAAGGATGAGTTAACCGGAGAGTTCAGACGGTTACACAACGCCGATTGCGTGAGCTGTATCCGGGTAATATAATTGAGGTGATTTCATCGCGGCGAATCAAATGGGCTTGTAAAGTTGTTGGGCTTAGTAACGAGAGAATTCCTAAAAGGTTAATATTTGCTGTGCCGAATGGTAAGCGTCCGAGGGGTAGACCGAAGCGAAGGTGGGAAGATTGCATTAAAGCCGATCTGAAGGGACTGGGTTTGGACGGTGAACGGTGGAGGGAGGTGTGTAACAAGCGATTGGTGGTGTCGGCATCGAACCTTCGGGTTCGCTAAGCCTTATTATTATTATTATTATTATTATACTTTGCTTATCTAGAATATGTAGAAAAGTAAAAATAGTTAAACTTCCGTATGTTCTTAACTTTTAAAAGATTATGATATTTACCAGATGAAGAACTATGATTTATAACTCGAATATATTATTACTCTGTATTATAAATATAATATTGAGATGACAAGATAACAGATAATAACTTTGAAATCCTCTGTGATCCAGGTAACTGATAAGAACTAAGGTCATTGTAGTACTAAATGATTACGACAAAGGAAACCTCGATGATAAATGTTACGACAGATCTGATTGGCCAATAATCATTTCCCGCTCCATGATAAATGGAGGACCAACCTCTAGGACGGCTCAGTCAGTCCCAGTTAGCAGGATGTTCGTGACCTTAGTTCTTCTGGTCGTAGGTTCCATCGCGACGTGCCGGAGTGCGGAGTATCTTCTCGTGTCGAGTGTCGCCGAAGATGAACCGAAGTGGGTGGAAGTAGTCCAACATGTCGGATATCCCATCAGAGTCCCGGAAAAGAAACTGAAGACGGAACAAAGAGAAGAAGAACCAAGGGATATGGGAAAGCCACCCAAGAATAATATTGTGGTCTTACCTCTGATGCTTAGGAGACCCAAAGAACCGCGTGGATATCGTTCGCTTGATTTTATTTAAAAAAAAAAAAGAAAAGAAGAGAACTTTGTAGAAATGAAGGATCAAGAAAGAAAGTGATGTTTCAAATTGTGTTTCCTCGATAAACAATCTAAATGTTCAGGTTAAATTTGAAATTTATATAATTAATAAATTAATGTATAATTTGAATTAAGTAGTAGCAGCAAAAAACTACCACCATCAAAATATTTTTTTAAAAACACACGTTTGATTTCAGGTGGCTAAATCTAAAATAAATTTTTGTACGCCAGAAGTGGAACTTGAACTTATGAAAACCTATTATTTTTAATAAAAATGAGTTTTGAAAATATATTTAAAAAATTATAATTATCATATGATAATATTATATATATTGAAACATTCAATCAATGATATTTGTAAAGTTTATTAAAGGAATACATATTTAAAATCATGGTGAATCATTTACAATTGTATCTTTCATTATTTATTTAAGAATGTAAAATCAAATTTCAAATTTGATACATAATAGTTTATTTAAATCTATTATCTATTACTTATCAATTATAAGCATAAAATAATTCAAAAAAGTAAATCGACAATCGAATATCATCGTTATTGAAGAAACAAAATAATAATTTTTTTTTCAAGCCTAGAAACTATTTAACAATTTAACATTACTTTCCATTTAACATCAAGGAAAATAAATAAAAATGGATTCCTAACGTTGGCCTAAATAATTTTCTTTTTCATTATTGATAATATGCTAATCAAAAATAAGCAATATTACTTCAGTGGATTCAAAACTTTTAAAAAATCAAAAACGAAAACAAAAGATAAAAGCTTTGCAGTAGAACGTATAACAAATATTTGGAGGATCATTTTCGGGTGACCACTGACTTTGATTCCAAATTTTGAAAAAAATCTGTCCAGTAGTAGCGGAGAAAAGCCGCGGACGGCGACAGACAATTTTTTTTTTATTCAATTTTCGAATTCTACATACCGTGAAAAGTCAAACATCAAAATTTGAGAGGGGGGAGGGGTGTTAATTTTGTCTTTTTTTTATAATTACAATTGTTCTTTATTGAAAATAATAAACCAATAATATTATTAAAATTATCTATGTTTCGATAGAAACTATTTAGTAGTAAAATGGTGAAAACTATTATATATTTTTACAAACTGACTTTTTTTTGCTTCCTCACTACCGAAGGTAGGGAAGCATTATACTCGTGCGAGAGGTTGAAAAACTTCGAAAATTTCCACTCGCGTTTTACGTTTCAGGCATCAATAATCAGATTTGATTTGATGTACCGTTTATCTGTACCGTTTCATGATTTTTTTAGGAATTGTGTATGTTTGTGTCTAGATGGTCCCATTTCAATTTTATTAAATTATAACCAGTACTTCCGGATACACAGGCGCAAAGGCATTTTAATAGATATGCTAATATTTTAGAAATGGCTTATTCGATTTGGCTCGAGATTGTAGAAAAGGTAGGTTTTTGTGAGAATATGAAATAGGATAAATTTTATTGAATTTTGTCTGTTGATTTCTCTTATATCGCAAATTATTGCTCGCAAACTTGTTTTCCTTGATCTATTTTTCTAAAACTGATAAAGTTCGAATTGACTGGAATTTGGAGGGAATTATAATTATATTGGGTTGCTATATACACAGCATACTCTTCTATCCTTAAGACAATATATGAACTTATATATAAATATACAGAAGTATTAGTTAATATTAGTAAATAGAAATATATATATATATATATATATATATATATATATATATAATATATATATATATATATATATATATATATATATTTATTATTTTATTTATTTTTATAATTTTTTTTTTCCTTTTTCCTTCTTTTCATTGTTCATGCTTTTTTTTTTTTTATTTAACATTAAGTTTCCCATTCTCTCACTTCTCTCTCTTTATCTCTTTTGTTTTCAATTATTCACTAAATAAATAAATAAACAAATACATAAATTAAATAGCCACCAATTTTATCAAATTCTATCTACTACTAAAAAAAAAAATACTTCCGCTTTAAGATCAGGAAATGTGTTATTTGATATGACTCTAGTTTAAAAACGGCGCATTCGATTTGACCCAAACTTGGAGGAAATTTGGAGAACAGTGTAGAAATAATTTTGTTTCAATTTCATTGAATTCCATTTAATAATTAAAATTAATATAAATAATTATTAACAATATAATGGCTGTGGAATGTTGAAGGCACTGATCATATGGAGTGGGAGTTAGGTTATTACAATATTGTTAAGGGGTTATACAATTTTAGGTTTCATTCAAAATATTAATTGATAGTTTTGTCAATTCTAAACGTTACTGACTTGACACTGCCGTTACTTAGATTTCGTGTAATTTTCAATTTATTTTAAGTGATTTTTACTCTGAGTTTGTAAAAAAAAAGGTATTATTTGTGATTGTGTTTATTTATCCATATTTCTATATTGTCTAGCTTAATACGTTTGGTTCTGAGTGAAGGAAAGTATTGGTCTAGTTAACTCCGAACAAACAACAAGTTGATTTTTTCCTATGGGTTTTCTAGTTCCATCCATTTTACGAGTGAAAACATACCTATTAAGTATATATATCACTACTATTAGGTACAAAAGGTCGTATGTAAAATTTTTTAACTTTTAGTCTATTTTTGCTTAAGGTGACATTTCGTAGTCTGTTACTATGGAGAATAGCTGATGACAATAAAATATGAAATTATACTAAAAAATCATTAAAAAATAATGAATTGTTATGCTCTCTTGTATTCAATTTTTAAATACGATCTTTTGCACTAACAGTAGTGAAATGTATGTTCAGTATGCATTAGTATTTTTTTTTTTTTTTTAAGAATAATCAAATATGGAATCTACAAACACGGCACTCCTTCGCATTTTAATATTAGCTGATAAACGGAATTCGTTGATATCAAACCCGAGAATGCTGAAGGGTAACTGTATTTCAGAATCGGCTTCTCCCAGAGATTTTATTCTCGTAAGAAAAATGGTATACATTGAAATATAGATATATTTTAGCCAATGAAAACGGTGAAGAAGCAATACTGACATCAATTGGCAGAAGTTTTTTATACTTTCTTGAATTTATTGCAGTTTCTTAAAATTAAAATATTTAACAATGTACAATTTACGATCCTATATTTATATGTTTCTTCATGGAAATAATAACTATTCAAGTGAAAATAGTAAAAACAAAAAAATTATTAATTAATTGATTTTATGAAATACAATCTAGCCCAATCATGGGCATCATGTATCGTGGCTCTATGCTCACATTTATAGTATTAAAATATAGCAATTAAAATACAAATTTAGAAAACTAAAAAAAGAAAATAATAATAATAATAAAAAGAAAATAAAGACGCTTATTACATATTCATTTCTATATCATGCAAGAAATTAAATTACAATGACAAAATGGTCACTCCGGAACATTTTGCATGACATGATTTAACATTACTAAAATAAATGAAAATTATATTCCTTTCTCATAACAGTTCCTTAAATTATATGATTTTTCTTGTTTATTCAGAGATATTACAATCTGTCACAATTAAGGACATTTATAATGGTGTTCAAAGAGCACATTCCCACTCCAGTATTCGAATGTGAATAAAAAAAAAATAGGCTCAGTAAAATAAACATAGCACATAACAAGAAAATTTTGATAAAATCTAACCATTTTCTTTCATACCCTTCTTTTAGGGTTGAGAAGAAACTGTAAATATAGATTATATTTTATTTATTTATTTCTTCTGTTTCGAGTATGAAACAGAATTTCGATCATCTCTCACAAAACAGTGTGAGTAGGTATAATTTTTTATTGTTTTGTTACCTTTTATCTTTTCTAAGAGTGTATTTTTTGAAGTGTATTTTATTTTATTTAAAAGTATTTTATTTTTTACTTATCTTCTGCACTCTCCTCTCTATGTGGATATGTATATAGATATGTATGTATACACACACACACACACACACACACACACACACATATGTGTGTGTGTCTTTGTTTTTTTCTTTTTCTGCTCGTAATCTATTGCGTCCTAGGTAGATCACAATATTTGTCTGCTTCTTCACAATACCTTCACATGTTTTTACTTAAAAGTCTTAAGGAACATATATAAATCATTTATTTATTCTAGTTATTTTCTTTTATTCTCATTTTTCTTTTCTTTACTTTCTTAATTATATTGTAGCACTAAAATTGGTTACCTATAAAACATATTTAACATTTCTTTCCAATTTTATTTAGTTATTAGTATTTTGTTGTTTTTTGTACCAATATTATAAAATTGTAACTGTTGTACCCATCTGCTTTTCTTAATATACCCTCCAAAACTATGTATATTTTGTTACTTAGATTGTAGTTACTCTTTATTATAATAGGTCATCTGGCCAGATTTATTGTCAATTGGCTTAAACAATATTGTTATTGTCATGTGACCTAGTCCCAGAATAAAGATGATTTTCTATTTCTATTTCTATTTCTAAATTTGGAACTTAAATTTATAATAAATTAGAATTGTTCGTTCATGATAAATTTCCGTTGAATATAGAAAATTCGTAATGTAAATAAGTGTATTTTAAATTAAAGCGTTAATAATTTAGCTTTCAATAATTAATGTATTTAGTTTTAAAATAAATTTCATATGTTCCATGTAAATTATTGTTATGTTTATTGAAAAATATAAAAATGATAAAATCAAGAAATTTTTAGTAATTTATAAATGCGATTTAGTATAAACGTTTAGTGTCCTTAACTGTGACAAATTGTAATATTTCTCCATAAAGTGTTTAAAAAAAAAAAGTATAAACGTTTAAGTCTTTTTCGGATTATTCATACTTTTATTTACTGATAAATTATTATATTCACTTTTTAATATTTAATTAGTTGTTCATTAGAATGATCAAGTAAATAAATTTGATTACTTCTGTATGACATATAAAGAAAGATAAAGTATTGATATCGTGAAAACTTTTGAATTGGAGTTTTTT